TATCATACTTGTCTTTGAAAAAAAATCTATTTCTCATGCTTCAATTATCTAAAAATCTTAAAACTTTAAATTATAAGTTTCAACTAAATCAAGATATATCCTGTAAATTTTCTCATAAAAATAATAACCATAAAGTAAGATATGAATTTTCAAATAATGCTTCTCTTGTTGAAATTTGAGATTTACTCACTTATGTTCATTATTTTCTATAGCATGCTAAACAACTCCAATAAATATAAAATTTAAACTAGAAGATCTTAACTAATATATGAATAGACCATAAAATTCTCAACTCAAAATAATATTAATAGATAGGGTAATTTCATATCACAAGTCATCATTACTACACATATTTTTCACTGGACAACACTTTAATCAATGATTTTTATAAAATTCGTTTTAACTTCAATTAATCTAAAAATTTCCAGTAATACCCTTAACATAATGATGATCTCATATAAAAAATTTCATAATTTTTAGAATTTAATAGATTGTTCAAAAACGAACAAACATAGGCAGCTGCAACATAAACTTTAAATAATCTTACTTTATAATCTTATTATATATATTTATATATATAAAATTTATAAATTCTAACATGATAACATATCAAAAACACATATAAATACTTATAATTCTTAGCTACACTTGATGATATTAAAGTTTGAAGACATACCTCTTCTACTCTTAAGAAAAAAAACTTGCTCCAAACACTTCTCGAAATTGCTCGGTTTCTCTCTTAAATACTCGATTCTCACTATTTCTCTCTTATAACATAAATTGTGAATTTTTGAGGTGTAATACTAACATTGAAGAATGCTCCTATTTATAGGAAAATTTTAGGGGACAAGCATCTCCAAATTTCAATTTTATATCATTTAAATACTAATTTCTACAACAAATATGCTAAAAAAAATGCCCCACTCTTTTTTAATTTAGTTGACTAATACTATTAAATTTTTCATCTCAAGAATTGCATAAAATAACATAAAAATGAGTCATCATTAATATAAAAATTAAGATGCTT